CCTCCACTTCCCCCACCGCCCGACCACGCAGCACCGGGGGTCCGCACGTGTGTGCGGGAGGGGCAGAGCTCCAGGAGAGCTTTCACAACACGCACCTTCCGCAGCGGGACCCGGGCGCGAGCTCTGCGGGCACCGAGCATCGGGGCTGTGCGAGCTACTATCTGTCAGCCGCACAACAGCAGCACTGAGAAGGCAGCACAACTGGCTTTGACAAGTGTGCCGTGCTAGCATTCCTCCGAGGGAAGGAGAAAGGAAAAGAGAGAGGGGAAAAAAAGAAAAAAAAAAAAAAGAAAAAAAAAAAGCAAGAAAGATCTTCCGATCTCGTCACTAGGAAAAACCAAAAAAAAAAAAAAAGCAGGAGGTGCGTTTTACTTTACCTGAATAAAGTGTGGGGTTTTTATTTTCCCCTCTGAGCTGCTGGAGAGGATTCCTCTCTCTTCTCCCCCAAAGCTAGGTGGTTCTTCTTTTGCTCGCAGCTCCCACTTAGGGAAGACCACACAGCTCCAGCCGGGCTGCCTCTCTGCCCTAATCCCCACTCGAGTGTGATGACACACACTAACCCCAACCATCTGTTGAAACACGTCCTCAAGCACTCAGCACAGTGGTGTGTCAAGGCGGGCTGCCCAATCCGATCGCTGGGGCTGGGTGGCTCTTAAGGAGCTGGAGGCAGAGACAAGGGCTGAAACTATAGGGCTGAGAACTCTTTAGCGAAGTAACCTGAGATTTGGAGAAAGGGCTGCTATTGAAGAAAGGAGCAGAAGGGGGAGGTACTAGCGGGAAGGTGGAGGAGCGGATTAGCCCGGTGGCCGCTCGTGTTCCTGCTCTCGACACCCGGTTTTCCCAAGGGACCGCCGGGACCTCCTCGCAGTGGGATGCACAAGGGCAGCACTGCAATCTCTCTCTCTTTTTTTTTTTTTTCTTTTTTTTTTCTCCCCCTCTTTTTCTTTTTACGGCGGGTCTATTGAGGGCAATCTCCTCCGAGCTAAAAGAGATAAAAGACGCGGTCCGAGATCTCGATCAACTGCTGCCGCGGGCGGCGTTAGCGCTGCAATGTAACATCTGCATCTCCAAATCCCCGCTCCGTACCGCGCCGCGATCCCTCCAACCTCCCTGGGGGAAAGGCTGAAGGAAAACCGGGGGGCGAAGAGAAGGAGGGGGGGGATCCAAAGGGCAAATATTTATTCTCCTACAAGGAGACCTGCAGATCCTTACCGCAAACCCACTCTTACCCCAGTGCAAATAAAGGCGCTTCCAGGCGTGCCCAGCGGCACACTCGGGGCTGCTGCTGTGACAGCTCCGGCCGCCGCGTCGCGCCCCGCTCCGTTCCGCTGCTCTCGGAGCCCTCCCCGCTGTCGGTCCCGCGAAGCCTCCTGCGATCGCCCCCCACCAAATTCGCCCCCCACCAAATTCCCCCCCAAAAAACTGGGTCTGGGGGCTCCTCGGCAGTCTGGGCCGTACCTCAGTTTCCCTCGGTTACAAAACAAGTATTATCGCACCTTCCTCTCCTCAGGAGGACAGCGCCAGGAAAAATACACTAATTCGCAGAAGATGTCCAGGAAGGATAGATAAGCGACGCAGAAAAGCTGCTAAGTGCCAAAGAAACAGTTCTTTCCTTTCCCCTCCCTGTAACAGGATAGCACGGAAGAGAGACTTAAAATCTCAAGGGTTTTTACCTCATTACCAAGTGCCTGACTTGACACTTGCATTAAATCTACATTTCACATTATGACAGATGTTGTGTTTTCTTTGAACTGAAAGGGAGCAACGTCGTTTTGGCACTGGAAGTTACTTCAAAAGTGTTAACATCCAACTTGAAGGTTTGCAATCGTGAAAAGATGAACTCCATTCAGCTATATGAAAGCCATATGAGAGCCCCGAAACATTGATTTGGCTTACTTGGACCTTAATATGTTACACAAGGCTATTTCTGAACTGCTGGTGATCGCTTAATAAAAAGTGAGATTAAAGAGCCATGGTTTATGCCCAGTGAGCAGTTATCAGAGCTGAGCTGCAGAAGAAGGAAGGAAAAGATGAAACTATAGACATGATTCCATTTGCTCAGATTCTTCCCAAAAGTGATTATGTAGTGCCGGATTCAGCCTATTAAACTGAAACTGCTTTCGCAGATGTTGAATATGCACTCAAATCTAGTTCCACATAAATAAGCAACCAAACAATATTTTTAACAGTAGTAGGCAGTGAGAGGTAGGGATGCAACTACTGTCCCTGAGGTACTATAGGATTCTTAACGTTGCCAATAATGTCTTCAGGACAAGGGTTTGGTTTGATTTTCTTTCATTCTAGCAGATTGCATTCTGTGAACAGGCTGGATAGCCTCACACATTTGGAAAGCTCTGGAGACATTATTAAACTAGTTTGCATTCTCTTTCACTGTACTTCTTACCACTATTGTATCAGTAGCTCGGCATTAAAAATGCATAGCAGTTAGATGCGGAATATCAAAAAGCCAAAACAAATTGTGCTGCATCATCCCGTGCACTGAATCACTGCCCAATGTGCTGCTCACCTCCAGGCTTCTGTCTGATGTTGGTGAGATGGGAAGCAAACTGAATAGGGTTGAACTCTGCTTCTAAACAACATGAAAGACAGTTATGTGCAGTGCAATTGCAGTGTGTGTATACCTACACAATTTTGTGTACCACATCTGTGTAGAAATACACGTCAGTGAGATACTCAACACTCACAAACAAGCCCTGTTGTTTTTTCTTTTTTTTTTTTTTTTTTTTTTTTTTATGCCTGAGTAAATCAGGCACGCCTCTACTAATGCCTGTCAAGTCACAGTAGTGTAAAATTGGCGTGGTTAAAAGGAGCCCTAATTGTGTGTTTTGTACACAGAGACACATGCGTGCACACACTTATCTTCAAAGGCTCTTCATCAAGTCTAAATACAAACTTTCATCTCCCAAACCAAAGTTAGCAATAGTCCTCAAACATTGGGTACGATCATGTTCTCACATAAAAGCTACCGCTGATGTTGTGGGATCATTTAACTGCTACCCTATGACTGCAGCCAGATTTAGTTTGCTGTGACAGCTTAAAGCAGACTTTTCTGCTATTTCTCTCTCCAGACGGCCATCTGCAAAGAGTTTAGAATCTAGAAGCTGAAAAGAAAGCTGCACTGGAAGGGCTGTACCTGGGGTACTGTTAAAAGAGCGCACTGTAGAAACATGTTCTCAAGATGACTCTTGGACCTGTGAACTCCTCCTGGGGTCAGGCTGACTCCTCACAGGTAAGACTTGTAACTAACTGAATAATGTGCTCTCATACATAGCTCTGGAACATCCCAAGGTGCAAGACCAATTCTAGGCAATTCTGACACGGAGCAATTGTCACTTCTGTTTCGTTGCTACAGTTAACATGCCCCTTACTTGCTGGCTCCAGAAAGTTTCCTTAAAGCCAGGGCACTGTGCTTCTCTCTCATACTGTATGGCTTAACCCCACCACCTTTCCTCCAGCACAGATGGCTTTGGCAGCTTGGTTTTGCGTCTGTGCAGACATATGCACACATTCACACCTGAGCTTCTGCTCAGAACCTAAGGTAACTCTTAACTGACAATTTCAGGTCTTAAAAGTAAAATTAAAGGGAATCTTTTATGGTCCTTGCAGTACCCGCAGTCTACCTCTGCTGCCAATATGAATAAAATCTGCTTTTTGATTTCCTTGAATCAGCATAAGCCCACCCGGGACTCAATTTTTGAAGTGTTTATATAGGAACAGGAAAGGTCTATAAATGCATAGACAAGCCCACAGGCAAATTCTAGATACACAGAGGCTCACACTGATAATGTATCAGTGAGATAATTGGATAATATATTGGTGAGATACAATAAAAACACAGACTGACAAAAAACATGCTAATAGGGAATTACCTCTCAAAAGATCCAGTCAAACGACAGATTCAAGAAACAAAAAGACATGTATCCTCACAAAGAGCACAGTTAAATCTTGGAACTTCTTGCTACAGGATGCAGTGGAGGAAAGTGTTCCAGTATTCAAGTGATTGAGCAAGTTCATGAAAAAAGAAAAATCTACTCACAGCAATTAAGTATGAACACAGAACTTTTGGTACACAGAATCCCTGAATTGCTTGGAGAGGATTCTGGCCAAGTATCATTCTGTGCTTGTCCTGTTCTCCCAAGCATCTACTGCTTTCCACTGGTGGAAAGTGCCAAACCTAGTATGCCCACGATTTAGCATGGTACAGATGTTCATGCTTTCTTATAAGAATTTAGCCATTGGAAGTTTTGGGTCTCATCACAGGGTAGTATAAGAGAGATGAATTCCTTTGAAGAACTTCTGCCAAAATTTTTAAAGGTTGACTCATAAATCCATATTCAGGAACAGAAGTAAAAATGGTCTGATCAGAATTATTGACTATACAACAGCTGCTACCAGAGTTAGCAGTTAATTTTACTTCTCTCCACGTGCATGCATTCTAAAGCCATAGTGGGTTTGTGCAAAATTTGGGTGCTAAATCCAAAAGTTTATTCTGTACAAAAGGCCATTCAGCTATTTCCTAACCTGGAGCCACCTAAATTCCACAGACACATGGCCTTTTAAATGCATTCCCCAAGCACCTCTATGAATTCCCCATGCTGAAAGCTACTGCCAAAGACCAAGGAAGATTCAAGTGTCTGACATTCCTTTGCTTACAGAGCCTAATGAAGCAATCCAGGAGACTCACTCTGCACCAACCAAAATAGAAGTGTGGCTGCTAGTTCACGCATTTGAGATCAATTTCTATATTTTCTGGGTTTAAATTATTTGAAATGTGGGTATACACATGTATTCCCTCCACGAGTCCATACATATGCTAGGTTCAAAAAGGCTGCATGAGAAATACCATTAAGGTGTAGTTTCAACTCACAATTACTTGCCCATGGATAGCTGTTATGGGAAAGAAGAGTATCCTGCTAAAGATTTTGAAGAAAACTCTCCTCCAACTTTCCTGCAACAGAATGGGACAATATGGAAGTTAGACCCAAACACAATTTACCTCAGGTCCACAGTGCTAATTACCCCTAGGGGGGACTATATTTGAAAGAGAGAAAGAGCATGCAGGAGAGATGGAAAATAGCTTATTGCAGGGCTTTACAATTTCTCATATTGTTGTCTCCACTGTTGATTGCCCACAGAAGAATATTGATGGCTGCAATGATCGTCAGTCCAAAATTTGTGCTACTTCCTTCACAAACCCTCCCAATATACTCATCTTCCTCAGTTAGTGTTAATTCTAAGGTAACTCCATTATTAGTACTTACATAGAAGTAATTTAGTAATAAACAATAATGAAAAAAATGACATCCTTCTTGACCTATCAAGAGAACCAGTTAAGCTTGTCTTAGATTTTTTTTTTTTTTTTACACATCCCAAAATAAAAACAAGAAGAAGGAAAAATAAGCAATCAAAAAAAAAAGTATAACCCAAAAACAAATGAAAACCCCACATATTTGTAATGTCATACTTAGGGAAAAGAAAACAAAACCAGCAACATTTTTCCAAGCAAGAGCCTAATTTGACAATTTAATGCACTGAGAAACTGTTGTTCTTCTCTTCTCAGCTGCCAATTGGCCAAGAGTTACAATTCTAGCACAGTAAACAAGTGATCAGTGAGTCTGGGAAGGGCTCAGCACACCAGACGCTTGGAA